GGTATTGAGCCGCCTGCATAAAGGAGGTAACTTAACCAATCTTTTCTTGTCTTGCTTCTAATCATAGTCATTTCTATGTACTTTTAGTCCATGGAGTAACGCTTATTGGAAGAGCTAAGATTGACACCAAAACTGTTGATTAGATTTATGAATGACAACTTTGCTATATATCAGCATGGTTAGGATAGTTTCGATCATTGCATGTTCTTAATTAACGAAATTGATTGCAGTGCTTAGTTGAAAATGGACATACAGAATGACAATAATTTACCTTTTTAGATGTTTTAGTGACCAGATTGAATGGTCTCAAACTTGTAGTTTTACTGATTATGGTATGTCCGCAGCTAAATGCAAAATAAGAGAATTCATCGAAATAAATTGAATAGGGAATACGTTGAATGTAAAGAAAATCGGCAATAAGTTAAGTAAAAACTACTTGTGCTTAATTAATTGACCGAAGGGTAGTGATGGTTTGAGCCGCCTGCATAAAGGAGGTAACTTAACTAATCTTTTCTTGCCTTGGTTCTAATCATAGTCACTTCTATGTACTTTTAGTCCACTCTTTCTTTCTCACATGAAGACAAAAGCTCATCAACATAACCAGACGTTTGTCCGACCGAGCGAAATATTAGTGATGATTAAAATATGTATACAGAGAAGGGATGTTGGTGTCAGCAAATCTTGACGGTCAAGAAGAGACGTTACATTTTTACTGTCCTAATTAAGTCATCACTTCTGGTTTCGCGTATATGCGAATACATACAGGCACATACGCATACATAGACAGACACACTTATATGCTCCGAGGTTGACATATAATTGGAACTAACCCAATCACTCTATACCTCATTAAAGAGGTCAGCTGTGGAAAATAAATACAGCTTTTTAGGGAAGATCAGTGAGTCTTCTTGACTCGTTAACTTGAATTTGATTATAAGACGATACCTTGCTCTGAGGATGTTCGTCATATGATGGATGAAAGCTTAGCACCCTTTCACCGGAGTCGAAGGAGATTACCTCGAAAACAGCGTCAGTACGAATGGTCCAGTAAAGATAATCTACAACCGTCGCCTTCTGGTGGAATCGACATTCGAATCCCTTCACTAGACACTTTCACTCGAAATGGAAGTAAGCACAACAATCATGAAATAAGAGATTCCTCGAAACACAACTTTTTTTCGTTAAATAAATAAACTTTAGAGCCTGCAATGCTAATTCGTGTTTAGGTATTGTGTATTCATGTGCATTGCATGTATGCGTTTCGCATAAGTCAATTGATATGCTATAGCTCTAACCAAACTTAAGCTTAATCAAGCTTTCCCTTCTTAGTCGGGGTAAATTTCTGCTCTATCTCCTTCTAATTATATCATACAATCAAGAGATAGTTGTCGCTAAATTTTTTACACTCGTTCCTCCCCTTCAAGTTGCAGCTTTTTTCTAAATTTATGTCGGCTGCCTATTCTTACGCGAAGCAATGGGCTTTATGACACTATTTCTGGTCTCCTACTTTGGCATTAAGTCATGCCATCTTCGATTTCCGGACCCATAAATCTTTGCAGACAGCTATACGTTCGGAGTACCTATTCTACATCGGTCAACAAGTTTCCTTAATAAAAACCTGATCTGAGGAAGAATCCAGAATATTGCCTAAATGAAGCAACGAATAATGAAACTGAGTTTATAACTTTTGTAAGGTATGGCTTTCTATTTTGACTATGTCTATCAAATACAGTCCTTAATAATTCATGACAGTTAAATTAGATAAGAACAAATATTGGCTTTTATTCTGCGCAAAATAAACTATGGTCACAGGAGGAGAGAATGAAAATTATTTTAAAAAGCATTTTTGGAAAAATCAGTCTGGTTAGGAGTAAAAGTTGGCAAGATAGGTAAAATATGTAAGAAATGACTGAGGGAAGAAAAAAACCAGAAGCGAATTCAATTTAAGCGTCTTTAGATTCAATAGGAGTGGGACGTCGAACAGTGGCAACAAACAATGGCGATTCGAGTATATTCGAGTAGATCATACAATGGAATGGTTCATCCACGCAAAATGTGAGTGTAGTAAAAATTGCACAAAGAGGCATACACCGGATTTCAGTGACAGCAGCTGCTTCAATGCCATCCTCGGTAACTCGAATTACACATTTTTGAAGCGCCTCATCCACATAGAGTTTTTCCGCTTTTGTGATACCTATTTTTAAAGGGATAAGAAGAAGATAAAAGTGAGACTGTGGTAGGACGACTATTTGATCGTAAATAAAAAGCTAAATGAGGTATGCCCTTAGGAATAGTCGCAGTCTACTTTAGCTGTATAGACTTTTGAGCAACATCGTTTGCGCAAGTTAGTCGGGAGGAAAGGAAGACTATGTGAAACCTATCCAGTCCTGCTCCCTCTGGAATAACGGTGCACACAAAGGTGACATTGGGACGAACGAAGATAAAGACAAGTTTAGATGGGCAAGGTAGGCATACGAAGTGGAATTGTGGAATAAGTTTACAGTGCTGAGCCAATCATGCAGAAGAATCAGGACTGGGTACGTTACACTCTATGCCCGAATTAAGATGCTAAACGTAGTCAAACCAATAATAAATGGAATGACTGCCTACCCAAGCGAATATGTACTATCGTATGTGTAGTGAGTAAGGAAATGCATTTTAGGGCTAATGTGATTAGCTAATTGCTTTATGCAAGCGCCTTTGCATACATTTCTTAAGAGGCGATTTCGTCCATTCTACTTACGACATAAAGAATTTTTATCAGAAATTCTTTTGAGCTACG